CTACTACTACTACTACTACTACTACTACTACTACTACCACTACTACTACTAATAATGATAATAATAATAAAACTCAAAAGTCACCTGAGTGAGTTTCCCACCTAAGTGAGAACATTTTGATGAATGAATGGCAAAAATATCACAAAGTTTGCAGAAGTGATTAAATAGTAAAATGTATAGAAAAAAATCCCAGGAAGATTATTATCTTTCTGGGATTAAAGATAATAAAAGCTGAAAATGATTCAGCTTTTACACAACTTGGAGAGTTTTATAAATAAAGAAATATTTGGCACAAAGTTGATGCATGTATGTTTGATTATTAAAGAACGACTGAAGAAGAAAGAAACCCTCATCAGCATCTTCAGTTGTAATTCTTAAACTGATAGAAGAGACTGGAAGGAGCCATGACACTTTGTGATGAATTTAGCAGTGAGGATGGATGGCAGCACGTGAAGTGTGTTTGATAAAGAACAAACATTAGAGTTATACGTAGCTCCTTCCTCTAACACTCGGGTTGTTCAAGGTTATCCAACATCAAAGTTAGAGGAGCTGAAGGGAAGAAAGGAATGCTGAAAGGACCATAAATCAGTTTTACATCTGGGCACCAAACACAGGTATGATTCAACCAGTCGGTATCAGCATCCTCAATCCACACATGGATGGAGGGAAAAGCTGGGTAACATTTGTGTCATGAACATGTAGATCTGCAACCTATTTGGAAGTTGATAAATTGCAACTGTCTGTGCCCATACAGGCAGAAAGTTTTCTGCTATAGTATAAAAACACGCCTCTCCCATTGAGATGTTTTTTTCTCCAGTAGCTGAGAGTCAATGTATGAGATCTTTGCTCCAAACTTACAATAACTTTTGGAGTCGGTCAACCCTGTTTAAATCTGAGAATCATTCACATCACATACTGAGATTGTATATTATATGAAATCCCATCTGCCTAAATTAGGTGCTTATTCCCCAAATTTTTCCCCATATGTTATCTGAACCTCTTGTTTTTTAATATTCCACTCTCACTGAAGGAAAATAAAGGTTAATTTTTATCTTTCAGAACAATCTCAGTGAATGTAAAACATTTATTGTTTTGTTCACATGCTTAAGCAAACTGAGGTGTAGAAATATCTCCAGACTGTGGTATCAAGTTTCCAGTGCCACCGACCCCCCTGAGTTCTAAAAGAAAAGGCTTGATTGGATGCATCATGGCTGGATAAGGTCACAAATTATGGTTCTGTGGTTCTGAAACAAGGCCAGGCCTTTACACTTGTGAAAAAAAGGAGTAAACATTGAACACTCGTCAGTGGTGCAAACAGAGTCTCGTCCTATGTTTATTTTGTATTTTACTCGTCTTGAAAACATTAAATTTCCCTGGAGGTTCGCATTCATATGCGTAACAGATGCATTGAGAAACTCCATACAACACTGCATGTTACAATCCATATTTTCCATGTCAAAAATAGATTTACTGTCTATTGCTAATTTCACAGACGCCTGCTTCATCATAATTTATTCTGCTGCTGCAAGTTAGCTGCATAATTTGATGTTTCTTCCCTATGCAGTTTGCAGAGTGGACAAGATAGGTCTGTGCTATCTATCTTGTTGATCACAATGGACCTCAGCTCTTTGCTCTGTTACAGTCTGTCTCAGTAAATTCCTGATGTCTTGTGTATCTGAGGATGCTTTGTTTTCCAGCTAAAAATGGCTTTGGCTAATTTCATCTGGCAAAGACAGTATGCTGTTAACTCCAAAGGTCACTGGAAAGGCTAAACAAGTCGGAGCATGTGAGCACAGTGCACGGATGTGACTGGTTTGTTGCTGCAAACGCCATTTCAAAGGATGACATCTGTGAAAAAGAATGTTTATCGTTAATGCTTTGGCATGGCAGTTTACTGTCTTTTGAGTTCTCTATGCTATGTACATAAGATCTGGTTCAGGCATCGACTGAAAAACACTAAAAGGAGTCCTTGCTGAGTTGGACTGTTTGAGGACATGGAGCCTATATTTGATGGCATATGTGTGCGCTTATTTGTGTAATTATGGTTGCTGTGTGGCAAGTGGCCTGGAATGTGTGATAAAGTTATGTGCATGCAGACAATCTGACTGCATTCACGTGTGTGTGTTTGTTTTAGGCTGCTGGTTGGCGCACCACAAGCAAAAGCCATACGTGGTCAGAAGTCTGCGATAACAGGGGGATTCTACAAATGCGAAATGAGCACAACATGCTCAAGAGTTATTTTTGATAATGATGGTGAGCAAAAATATGGTGGTCCATTTAGATTTTTATTTTGTTGCAAATGTTTTCCCAGGTCTTACATTTTCTGATTTTCCTCTCTCTGCCGGTCTTTTTGTAGAGAATTTAAACATAGAAAGCAAGGAAAACCAGTGGATGGGAGTCACTGTCAGCAGTCAGGGGCCAGGAGGCAAGGTTTTGGTAAGAATGCTTATTTAATTCTCATTAGTTAACCTCATAATAAATTAGCGTCTTAAGCCAAGTCAGCTGTGTCATTCTCTTTCTTGGACAGGTCTGTGCCCACCGTTACCAGCGACGAAACAATGTGAACTCATTAACAGAAACCCGTGACGTCATCGGCCGTTGCTATAGTCTGAGTCAGGACTTAACTATCAATCCTGGGTCACCTGAAGATGGAGGTTTCTGGCGTTTTTGTGACAACCGGCTAAAAGGCCATGAGATGTTTGGTTCATGTCAACAAGGGTTATCTGCTACATTTGACAAGGACTTCCACTACTTTATCTTTGCAGCTCCTGGAGCATACAACTGGAAAGGTAGTTTAGTGTAAAGGAATTTGAGCCATGTAATTACAACAGAATTTTAATAGTCACATCATCTTGAGTATTCCCTCCTTTCCTTCACTCCTCTCTTCAAGGTGTGGTACGCGTGGAACAAAAGAATGACACTTTGGTGGAAATGGGGATCTTTGATGATGGACCATTTGAAGCAGGAGATGAAAATGAGAAGGATCCCAGCCTGATCCCTGTCCCTTCAAACAGCTATATGGGTGAAATTTCTAATCATTATTATTAACCCCCGCCCCCCAAACAAACAAAAAAAATACTACAACAAACAAACAAAAAAAAACCAAAAAAAAAAAAAACCAACATATTTTGGAACCCAAGTTTCTGATAATGAAAACTAAAGTTTCTTGGTCTCTTTCTGTTGACTTCTTTAGGGTTCTCTCTGGACTCAGGGAAGCGTTTGACCAAAAAGGGTCAGCTGACTGTGGTGGCTGGAGCTCCCAGAGCATTCTTCACYGGAGCAGTCGTCCTGCTGAAGACAGGTGGAGAGATGAGCAGGAGCTTGGATAAGGAGTACATCCTGGAAGGGGAGGGACTGGCGTCGTCTTTTGGATACGATGTGACTGTACTGGATTTTAACGGGGATGGGTGAGGATGTTGAGTGAAACATACAGTACTGTACACAGTTTATCTACTGCTGTCATAATTTTTACTTGACTGTATGCTCAAGAGAGTGATGTGCTGTTTGTTAGTTGGGAAGATATAGTGGTTGGAGCACCTCAGTACTTTGAGAAGGATGGAGAAATTGGAGGAGCTGTCTACATCTATGTGAATAAAGCTGGAAAATGGGACAAAGTCAAACCCACTAGAATAGATGGACCTGCGAACTCTATGTTTGGCCTGACTGTGGAAAACTTGGGTGATATCAATCAGGATGGTTACCAGGGTAAGTATGCATTAAACAAATGTTAGCCCATGTGCACAGCTGTTGATCATTTCCCTCTTTTAGGGACATGTATAACCACCCTTTTCTTYTGACAGATTTTGCAGTGGGAGCACCTCTTGAAAACGATGGTGTTGTTTACATCTACCATGGATCAGCCAATGGAAAAATTGATGAAACGTCCACACAGGTATGTAAACTAGTAATTTACCTACACAGGGTTTACCTTCTAACTCTACAGCAGCGTTTTGCTAGGTCAGAGCTGCAAGCTGTCAGGTTTTAAAATTTGTTTGAAAATAAACTGCTCTTTTATYAAGTTGAATTTATATCTTACAAAGCAAACTTCTTAATGCAAATTCTTTCTTGCCATTTAAAATCGGTTGAAATGTATCTTAAAACCTTTAGGGTCAAGAAATAAAATGGGCATTTTGAGGTCCCTGCTCAGCTTGAATGATATCTGTAACAGAATCAGAGCTCTGASAGCTTGGGAGACTTTCCTATTTCTGGAGCTGAGGTTATTGAAATAATTAACTACAAATTTGTTAATGAGATTTGCCCTGAATTTCTCAGGGCATATCTTGATGTCAGGCTGTTTTGGGCTGAGGACTTCATACTAGAACATTTGACCAGTTATTTACCCTTACAGCTGGGTCCCTCAGTGTGTCCTCTAGTTTAGGARGTATGTAAGGAAATTGAGTTCCGCTGCTAAGAGAGTCTTTGTTCAGCTGAGTTGAGAACTTGTTTTGCATTAAACACCTTTCTTGGGAGGTGAATTTCGACATGTCACTTAAGGAAGAACTTTAAAGCAGACATGGAACTTGCTGGATAGATAATAGCTGGCTTGGAAACACCTTTAGATTCCCCTGAATAAGATCCAAAAAGTAACTGAGGAAAAAAGAGATCTGGGGATTTCTGATCAAGCCTGGTTACAGATAAGTGGCAGAGGATGGATGGATGGATGGATGGATGGATGGATGGATGGATGAATGGATGGATGGATGGGTGGATGGATGATGTATGGATGATGGATGGATGGATGGATGGATGAATGGATGGATGGATGGATGCAATAACATTGCTCAGGTTAAGTGCGAGCTTACTTCCTTGTGTTTTAGCAAAAGTTTCAATAAGCCTAAGTTACATCCCACTAAAACAGTTGTGATTTTAAGCCTGAATGTCATCATTTTATAAATATTTTTATCTAATGCATACAGTTCTGATCTCCAGTGCTTTTATTCTTTTTAAAGGTTGCTTGTTCATTTACTGCTGTTATTTTCCCACAATGCTGGCTTTTGTTTACAAAAATGCACTTTAGATTTTCATGTGATCATTCTCCTAAAATGTGAAAGTAATTCACACTAGGACCCAATTTTCTAGAATTAAAAAATATATTTGTCTCTTAGTTTGACAAATTTTTTCTAATGTATTTGAAACACAGAAGACAAAGATCCTGCATGATTTAGATCATTCACTCCAGACTCTTGTGTTCTCCCTGCTGTAGGTGCTTTCTGGTAAATCTATGGGAGTGAAGCAGTTTGGCTACTCTTTAGCAGGTAATATGGACCTGGATGGGAACTCCTATCCAGACCTGGCTATTGGATCTCTTTCAGACTCTGTTTTTATCTACAGGTGACTAAGTTAAAAGCTAGTACATTGATCTAATACCCTGTTAGTCTTTGTACATATGATTCACACCAACTTCTTTATATTCAGAGCCCGACCAGTTGTTAAAATTCAGAAGGAAATCTCTTTCACACCTAATAAAATTGACCTGAGCCAGAAGAACTGTGGCAACACCTTCTGGTATGGATGTCTCTATTTTCAATGTGACGTAGTATGTCSATGTTACACTTTAGCACTTCATTGGTAGATTCTCGTTTGTGGAATTGTTTTTTCTTTTTCTTTTTTTTTCTTCTGGAATTGAGGTTCATACTTAATCATTGTGCCACTTTCTATTATTACATTACAATAGAAAAGAATATATTCTTTTGTTCAGTTTTTAAATTTTAAACGTTTCACWATCTTTAGTTTAAATGCAAACATATAGCTAATCTTAGATCTGATTGTTTCTCCAGCTTGGATGTGAAGGCATGCTTTTTCTATGATGCAAGCCCAGCGAGCTACACTCCTTCAATGAGTAAGCTGAGCAATATTTACTTTAAGTGCCTATCCTAAAACAAACTTTTGTCTGAATTATATTTGCTTTTCTTTTCTTTTTTTTTTACAAACTCACAAAATCAGAAACCAACAAAAGCCAGTAACTACTGGTACAGCTCACACACTGCTTTGTCTTACACTGTGTCACTTTTTCTTTCCTACCTAGCTGTAAAATACTCTCTTGAGGTGGACGCTGATTATAGGAAGATTGGTCTTGTACCGAGGGCAACCTTTACAGACCCTTCTAGTTCTGATCAGTACAAATCCAGTGGTACCATTAACATGAGCRTAAAAGGAAGGAAAGAGTGTGTTACACGGAAACTTGCCATACAGGTATTCATATTTTCAGCATTACTTTCTTCTTAAAGTGTGTTGTTTGTGTGGTTGTGACAAATATTTTGCTTTTTATCTACAGGAAAATATTAAAGACAAACTACGTGCCATCTCCATTGACGTGTCTGTAGATATCCAGGATTCTAAACGTAAACGTAGACAGACCTCCACTTCTCAACTCCAACCTGTCCTGGACGCCAAAGATCAGATGAAAACTCGAGAAAAGGTATGTTTGCAAAATACTCAGTATGTATAAAATCTAATCAAAGATCATATGCCATATGTCACTGTAAATGCRTTATTTTCAATGTCCCTGATATATATTTGCACATGAATTACAACCATGATGTCATCAAAAAATGTCAAGAATTTGGAGAAATCGCTGAGCTCTAAGGACAAAATTGATGCCTGTGCTCTTTGTGCCCTCAGTCATCACTGCATTAAAAACACACCAGATTCTGTTAGACATCACCGCTAGACTCAGAAACAATTTCACAAATCGCTGTCTGTAAACACAGTTCGCCCTGCCATCCACAAATGCTGGTTAAAGCTCTATCGTGCAGAAAAAGCTGCATCACACTATTCAGATCTGCTGCTGTCTTCTTTGGGCCAAAGCTCATAAAAATCGACTGAAGCAAGGCAAAAAAGCTGTTTTGTGGTGGAGTCATATGGTTCAACATTTTAATTACTTTTTTGAAACCTGCGGATGCACAGTTCAAAATCCCTGTCTTGCTGATGGTATTGAGGCACATTAGTGCCTTTGGAAAGAACAGCTTACACAACTAGGAAAGCACTATCAKTGCAGAAAACTCTATGCAGGTTTTAAAACACTACCATATTTGTAATGAAAAAAAACAAACAAACTATGTTTTATTGTGGAAAAAAAGGGTTCATAATAATACAGTATTTTGTTTTATTTGGTTTTTATTTACATTTGACACAACATACCAACCTTTTTTTTTTAGAAATAAGGTTGTATGTTCAAATATAAATTTAATATTTGTCAACATGTTTGCTAGCCTGACCCTTGCCTTCCTACGCAGTTCCGCTCAATTTTAGTTTCCCTTCACTGCTCCATCTGGGATTTCTCCCATAAACAAGGATTTCTTCAGGAGAATTTTCGTCGGGCCAATCAGAGAACAGAAGGCAGAGTTTTGAACGACAATGTCGATTTTCTGCACAGTGTCTGCTAGTTAGTTTAGCATACGGCAGTGGAGGAAGTGAATGAAGCCAGTCTGTGTTAAGGCTTCCAAATTAAATTAAATTTGTCTGACAAAGCAGCAGCTCTCATTTACAGTTGTCTCGTTCGGCTCGGTGCTTCTTTCCTCTCAGTAGGGTTGTTTACAGCTCACGCAATTTCCGGTTAGCTTCTTAGCTTAGCCTCCTTCACAGTGGAGCTGGCATACACATATGTCACAGCCAACCGATCCAATCATTTGAAACTTCATCAGAGGCCACGCCTCCAACAAGAATCGCTTCTCTATAGCCGAGAGTCCAGACCCTTGTATGAAGCAAAGTGAAGGACAAGGGGCTGGTTTTAACCAGGCTACATGTTTGCAGGTGGGATTCTTGAAAGAGGGGTGTGGCAGTGACGATGTGTGTGAAAGCAACCTGCAGGTGAAATATCGCTATGGCCACAGGACAACTGATCAAGATACATTCACACCATTACAATTGTAAGAGCGCACACACACACACACACACACACACACACACACACACACACACACACACACACACACACACACACACACACACACACACACACACACACACACACACACACACACACACACACACACACTTTTGTTCTTGAACCCCGTGGGGACCGTGCATTGACTTCCATTCATTTTTTTAGACTTTATAGTCTAACCCTGACCATTCACCCTAAAATTAACCTCACAGGTGACCCTAAAACTAACCTAAACTCAATTCAAACCTTGGTCCTAAACCTAAACCCCCACTGATATTAGCCCCACTTGGATAATGGTAGGGAAAATGCTGAGGTTCCTAAAATAACTTTGTCAATAAGCAATGTAAAACTTGTCAAAGCACAGACTCATAATTTAGTCTTTTTATAGGGAGAATGGTGTGCCGGTGATCTCACTCAGCACCCAGAAGRACATCGCCTTGGAGGTCACAGTAACCAATCTGGATAAAGATGATGCATATGAAGCGTCGGTGATCATAAACTTGCCCAACTCCTTGACCTACTCCGCTTACCGTGTTGCACCTAATGTGAGTCTCCTTTTCCCCTAACACGTGGTTTCACTCACTCACGAGTGCCTGGCTCTGACTGGGACATGTTGTTAATTACAGGAGCTGCCAATTACCTGCACAGCAAATGTAAATGGTTCTAGTGCTGAGTGTGAGCTTGGAAACCCATTCAAGAGTGGCTCAAAGGTGAAAGAAAATACATTTTTTTTAAATCTTCTTTTTTATACAGTTGTCATTGTTAATGCTTGAAATATGTGTGTGTGTTTGTGTTTACAGACCACCTTCTACATAATTTTGAGTACAGCTGGTATCTCTCCCAGCATCAATGAAGTGGAAATTGACCTGCACTTAAACACGTAAGTGTTTAAACTGGCATCACAAACCATTAAAAAAACATCAGATCAACTAACAGTAGTTTACCTTCAACACAAATATAATGTACAGCATGATTTATAATTTCTCTGGAGTATTTTGAGTTGATCTTATGTGCACATTTTAACAGGACGAGTACCCAGCCAAACCTAGGTCTCATCAAAGCAAAGGCAAAGGTGGCCATCATGTTGCAGCTGACCTTAACAGGGTGAGCAAAAGGCACAAATGTGCAGTAAATACACAAACATGTCCGGCTTCAGGCAGCTCACTGTGCACCTTTTATCCTCTCAGACAAGTCCAACCATCTCAAATMTACTTCAGTGGAGAGGCCAAAGGTGAATCAGCCATGAAGACTGAAAGTGACATTGGCGGCGCCATCACACACCAGTTTAGGGTAAGGACAGGGAAGCTGCTAGTCTTTCTGATGCATTCATATGCATTTATATTAAATGTACGATTCAACGAGTATTGTTTATGTGCTAGTTAAATAAGCATTACCTAATAAGTGTCAATGGTTCTGTTATTACAGATAATTAACTTGGGAAAACGACTGACAGATGTTGGAATTGCGACCCTCAACATAGAGTGGCCAAAGGAGACAATGAATGGAAAATGGCTTCTGTACCTGATGAAAATCACCTCCAAAGGAGTGGAGCAGATAAAGTGCACTCAAAAAGAAGATATCAACCCTCTTAATATAGTGAGCATGAACTAACGTGTGACTGATGTTATACTCAGTTTGTTCAGTCAGTGACTGAAAACAGCWATAGTTCTTCCAATTTTACAGAAAATTATTTAGATTTGGTGTGTTAGTAGCTGAGAGTAATTTCCAACACGTGCTCTGAGCACAAATTGACATCTGTTTTTACAACTTTGTCCTTAAGTATTGGAGTCAATTTTRTTTGTCTGTTACCAAAATATTACATTAATCTCTGGATGGATTTTAACAAAACTCTCAGAAATTAATTGAGTGTAAATCTACAACTGACTAACTTTTGCAACTTTCGCAGTGAGTGTTGCACCTCAATTTAAGATGAACCAAAGCTAAWTAACATTAGCAAACACAAAAATGATTATGAATCAGTCAGCTTTACAGATATGGAGTTGTAATTTTGTGTGGAGATAGCTGAATTATTCATAACACACACTATGCTCACATAGAGATTGTKTGATAATTATTTATCTTTTGACAAGTTAAGATGTTGACCTAATAACAAACAATTTTCTGCTCTGCTTTCAGAAATTAGATAACAACAGAAAGAGGAGAGCTACACGAAAGGATCAGGGGGGAATCGATGGCACAATTTCACGCTTAATTGAGAAGAAGGAATCTAAAACCTTGGTAACAACACACAACTCCATTTTTTACCCTGTCTTATCTTTAATGCACATTTTTACTCGTTACATGTTGAATCCGGTCATAACTATAGTGTTTGTTGACAGTCGTGCGGTAGTGGAGCAGGCTGTAAGACGATAAGATGCCCCCTGGGGGACCTGGACAGTAACGCAGTCATAACTCTCAGCTCTCGACTGTGGAACAGCACTTTCATTGAGGTAAAAAGGGACTTTTTTTAAATTATAATTTTTATATTTCGTCTAGCTTCGGTTTAAGATGGGAAACTCTTAACACTGTTAAAAGAAAGCTTGTCCTGAAATGAAAGATTTATAGCCTTAAAGYGTATCTATGTTCACATCACACACTAACCCATTAAGTTTCTTTTGCATATCAAACATGAAATTGTATTTAAATGTCCTTTTTAAAACCTTGATGTAGTTTTGAATATTTATTGTTTTAAACATTATTGTTCTTTCAATACAAAATTATGTGAAACAAAAACTAATAAACCAATGTTGTTCTTTAATATTTTTAATCTCTCTCAGCACTTGTTAAATCTTTTTTATTATTTTTTTTACAGGATTATTCCAAGTTACATCACATAGATGTGATAGTGAAGGCAGCTCTGCACATTGACAGCAATGTGAAGAACACGGTGCTGAAGAATGCTGAGACAGAGGTAATTAGAAACATTTGTGTGACAGTTCTGGAAAAACATTTATTTTCTTTTTTTATTTTAGTTTTATACAAAAAGATGGTAACCCATTGCAGGATTATTGTTCCTTAGTAATTTTAAMGTAATGCAACATCTAAATGTTTTGGATTTGTAGTCATTTTAAGACAGTATTTGTTACTTTTAAGAGCTCAAATATTAATGTTCTTATGTCTATACCAACTTGACCATAGATGAGTTTTATTGAAATTTAGAACATATTCGGAGGAAAACTCTTTACAACTGATTAACTTCTAGAGTTAACTTCATTCGACTGAAATTGAGAACAAAAAGAGAGTACACTTTTAAAATCAACTTTAAACAAATATTTACTATTTGATTTAATGGTAATTTTCTGCTCTTTTGTTGTGTTTTACAGGTGAAACTGACCGTGTTTCCAGAGAGGATTGCTGCTCAGTATGGAGGAGTGCCGTGGTGGATCATTGTGCTCTCCATCCTGTTTGCCCTGTTGTTGCTGGGACTGTTAGCATTCCTTCTTTGGAAGGTAAGAACAATAAATATAAAAACAGTCATAGATACATTGTTAGGATTTTTCATTGGACAAATATTTGAAATTTTCTGATAACAGAGCAAACCACAGGCACACACGTCAGTGATCGCACACATTGTCTAATCCATTTCCTCTCCTCAGTGTGGAGTCTTTGGGAAAAAGAATAAAGAGGATCCATCAGAAAAAGAGAAGCTGACATCAAATGCATAAAAAAGTGAGAGGGTAAAATGACTGGATCTGCCAGGAATCAAACTTTTTTCCCCCTCCTGCTCCTTCTTGCTACAAACGTGCTGCTTTCTGGTATTTGGCAAGCAGTGGGCGACTCTCACACTGCGACACAAATACTAATTTAAAAGCAAAATGAATATTTCTGCAACAGAAATAAAGCCTCACACGACCGTGTGTATCATGACACCTGCATGGCCAAAGGAAGGTGACGGCTGATAAGCAATCACTGGGTTTCTAAATGCTTCTTAATCTCTTATTTTGTTTTTGTTGCTGCTGCACACTTTGGGCACTTGGTATGAAGGTTTTTAATTGTCTACATTTAAAAACGTGTATTAAAATGTTTTCTTTCTTCATAGAGGTGCACAGATGGCTCATCCACACCTCACAATGGACTCACTGCATATCTCCATCTGCTTTGCTTTCTTTAAAGGCTTTTAAAAAGCTTTTTTTCCCCTCCTTCAAAGAATATATTTTCTTTTTTCCCCCCCACTTCTCTGCAGTGTGGCTTTTTTGAGCGAGCCAAATTCGAAGATGAGGTTCCCAGTTACAGTGCAGTTCGGATCAGGCGGGAGGAGAGAGCGGTCAACACGAGGAATGGCAACTGGGACAAAGTGGAAAAGAAGCCGTGGATGACAACTTGGCACGACAAAGAACATTATTCTTAACAGCCAATAAAATCTGGCTGCAGTCGCTTGACGATGAACCGCAAGTTGGCCTAATTTTTCTACCCTGCTCATGCACATTAGGAATTGTAAATATCAAGATACACAATCAATCAATTGGATTTTAGATGTTCAAGGGCTAAATTCAGGATCAAACATTTTCGTGCAGGGGCTGATTCACTTTTCAACTGTGTAGGAGCTGAACCTGCACAACTACTGTCTGCACAGCTTTTGGAGCTTATTTGACTGGGAGCTTGGCGGGTTGGAACTGCTTGTTTTGTATGTTTGAATCGTTTATTTATTGTTGCGAGGAGTATTTTGTTACTTGCTCTATAAAGCCAAAGAGTCACACAATGTATTGCCATAAGTTTAAAAAAAGTGGCTTTTTTTACAACCCCATCCTAAAAAAGTTGAGATGTGTATAAATCGTTGATAAAAATCAAAATGTGATTATCTACAGATTCTAAAACTGGCTGCAATTTAGTAACAAGATGTACATCTTAAATAAAATGCTTTTTTTACATTTTGTATCTTTTGTGATGAAGGCAAAGGTAAATGGGATTTAAAGCAACATTCAAAGTTTAAAACATGATTTATTAACACATAAAGCATTTACAGCAAATACCTGAGTGTGAACATCAGCATACGTTAAAAACATTCAAAGGATAAATTAAGAGCTATCAAAAACAGACAATTAAATCTCACACACATCTAATGACATACACACAAATGGTTTGATTTTTGGTGCTAGAAGATCAGAGTGATCTCAACCATCAGCCTGTACCTTCAGATATCAAGATAAAAACCCATCTAGCAGTTTTAGTACCAGGTTTAAGTCAGAAATGAGTGTGTGCGCAAATCTGCACAAAACGAGTGCTGGTGGTTCCTCTGTCGGTTTTATAAGAGCGACTCTGTTCTTACAGTTTTGAAACTGCTTCCGACGTCTTTCGTGGATTTCTCACTCAGCCTCCTCACTTTCTCTTCACCTTCTTTTAGCTTCTTGTCCTCCTTTTTCTGTTCTTTCTCCTCTCTTCTCATATCCCTCAGCTTCTTCTTGAGGGCGGATCGGTCGCTTTGGCTGGAAACACCGAGAGCCTGAAGGACACGTGTGAACACAGAACTCAAAACCTAATTTTTTAAGGACTCGTGATTTAAAATGGAGGGTAGGTTGTGCTCACCTTGAGTTTCTGACTGTCCATATTTAGCAGCTGTGCTCCATCCACTCCTTTGGCAGCGAACTGTGATGTGTACCGATCCATGTTCATGTCAATTAACCACAGACACACCTGCTGGTTCTTCCACTCTGACACGGGGCGGCTCTGCCACTGGTTGTTATTGTTGGGGAATGGATAATTGTCCAGAGTCTGATAGAACACCAGAGAGAAACAATAAGATAAAAAGGAAACTAGCTAAAGGAGAGAGTGTTTAGTGTAACTGATGAGACAGAAAAGAAGAAAGGGTTTGGGGGTGCGGGCAGACTCACCTCAGAGGAAGAAAAAGTGCAAGTGTGAGAGTTTCCAGAGAGGGAATGATCAGAGACATGACCCACCATGCTGGAGCAGCCCACCAGAGAGCCAGTGCTCTGAAAGCAACAGAAAGACCTGCTACCTACAAGCGTTACACCTGCAGCATGCTCACCCATGCACGAGTGTATAAAAAACAACTCACCAGACTGCTTAGTATATAAAGGTTTTATTTTCCCCTTACTTGATCTCTTCTGCTCGTGGTGAGGTGAGGCAAACTGCTGCTGGACACAGACCGCAACCTCACTCTGCTGTTCCCCTCTTGCTTTTCTTTTTCTCTCCCTCGCTCTCCAAACCAGAGAATAGGCAGGCAGGAAGGCACAGAGGTGACCGAGCCTGATGACTGAACGTCCGCGGGCTCATCTATCAGATCACCACACGATGCCCTGCTGACAGGAGGCAGTACTGAAGCATCACGTGTGCTGGGAAAACAAGGATTTTGTGCAAACAGAAGCAGACTAAATGAAGTTCACATTGAGAGTTGGTTATTTCAGGAGATGTGGCATTAAAAAAATGTTTGGCTCACTTTAAAATGTGCCTACATTTCAATCAAACCTAATGTTTTTATATGAAAGTGTGAAATTTTGTTGACGGTTTCACACCTGCTGTTGGTGAATCTTCTGCTGCGCTTTTCAATCCTCGTTTTGCTGAAAGACTTACGAAGGCCACTAAAACAAGAAACTGTGGTTAATAATTAAATTCCTTAAATAGAAGTATAGGACACTGCAAAAACCCCTCTCAGGAAAGTCTCAGGAAAAGGTTGAGACCCTTCACCTGAAGTCTGGAAACTTCTTTTTGGATTTTCTGGAAGCTGAGGATTTGCAGGGTGAGGGGGTAACAGTGTCACTGATGAAAACAGGAGGGGTTAGGAGGGAGCTGGTGGTGCTTTGAGGGCTGAATGTTGGGACTGAAGACGTGCTGGACGGATCACTCCTGTTGCTCAGGACCATCGAGTAAGCTGGCAGAGAATGACTGTCCTGCTGCTTAAGGACAACTTCTTCCTGCTGCCTCAGAAAATGAAGAAAAAGAGGAAGAACAGAGAGTAATAAGTTTACCGTCACCCGTGTCAACATTTTTCATACGCCTCTTGCCTGTATTTTGTAGCTCCCTCTGCGCTTTTCTCGTGAGGGTGGGTGGCGCTTCGATTTCTGAGCTAGCTGAGCTCTGGCTATGTGAGCGCTGGAGTCCAGACGTCTCGTATCAGGAACTGGAACATTCCAGTCTGAAACAATGAAACAAAATACCTCCAGTCACTTACAAAGTACCATTTCAAAAGAATTTTAAACAGTGTGTATTTGTGCTTACCTGTGGCTGAAGACTCCACAGAATGGTTCTTTCTCTCATGATCAGCCTCTTTTCTTGATAACTGTCTGATCTGTGTTAAAAACAAAACAATGACAGTAAAACCACAGGATTAGTAAAATAAATCCTCAAACATCTCCTCACCTGGATTTGCAGCTGTTCAACTGTCTCCCTGTGCTGCTTATCTTTCTCCTCCATTTCCCTCCTCAACTCGACCAGTGCTTGCTCCTTCTCTTCTTCCCTTTCGAAGATTGAAATATGAGAGTATTTAACCGACACACCAAGTCATTTAGAAATATTACTGGATTTCTTACAGACCTGCTCTGGTACTCTCTGACCAGTCTCTTGGCCTTGCTGTATTTGTTCTCCAGGCTCTCCGTTTGGCTCTGGGCATCGGCTAATCGCTGGCTCACAACTCTGCACAGAGTCTGGGCCTCCTGCCAGTAACTGAATAATTAGAACACATTTCATCAACACCTCAACAACCTGGATCATCTCGATCCTGTTGACTGAAGCCTCGAGTTAGCTTCTGCAAAATACATTTATGATGGACGTCAGCAATGTACCTCTCTAGTTTGTCAGCTCTCTCTTCTCCATCTTGAGCTCTTTGCTTCAGCTCTGCCTTCTGGTTCTGCCAGCAGACCTGCTGCTCCTCCAAGGCCTTTAACTGAGAAAAAAAAAAGCACCATGTTTTATAGGAAGACATTAAGGTTAAAGGCCTTAGCCTTCACTTACCGGTACACCTTTTTATGTCCACGTTTTCATCATTTTATGCTAAGAAATCGTGACTGCAACATGCTGCATCATCTCTTCTTACTTTATCATATAACATCTACCATACTGTTTTTATTTTCATTTTATTTTATACTGTTTATACTGTATGTCCATAAATGTGTTTATTTTGTTTTCCTCCAGAGTGCCTGTATTTTATTTTATTCTAGTGTGTTCACCTTTTCTTTTCTAATCATTTTACTTTGTTGCAGCTGTAAAAGCTGTAATTCCCTCGGGGATAAAAACAGTAATCTGATCCTTATTTTGGTCAAAACAGCTGGACAAACAAGGTTAAATATTGCAGATCTCTCAAGCTCTATTAGGGCTTGGGATATGTATTGTGAAAGACCCACAGCCACTACCCACACCAAATTTTAGCTTAATATCTGTAAACTTGACTGAATTAAAACCATTTATCTATAGGCAAGGGATGATAAGCTATGGCAGCCATCTTGAACCGACTCCAAATAACAAATCAGTTGAAGATGTAAAACTAATTATTATTTTCTGACAGCTCTATAAACGTAAATTCCAGCATTTTATGAGATTCTGTCGACTCCTTTTTCTTTGGGTAAATGATAAAAAAAGAAATTTCAGTAAAGAAAGCTTCTATTTTTTTTTCAAATAACCTTTGTTTATCAAACAAAGGTTATTTTAATACAACAAAAGAAGAATTCTATATTTAACATAGCTGGATAGATAAAAGCCATATTTATAGAGTTCTTGAAAGACTTTTGCCAACCCAGTTATGTCACAGCAATGAGCCCATCATCATCATCGCCGTGGCAGAAACACAGACCTGACGAGAAGGGTTGAAACAAGGCCTGCGTTCTAATAACTCCACACAGAGATTTCGCATACAGTTAAATGGGTCAGACTGTTTCCAAATTTGGACACAAAGGTAGTGTATTATGAGTACAATTATTGGTGTGTGTGTGTGAGTGAGTGAGGGAGAGAGAGAGAGAGAGAGAGAGAGATCTCAATACTGACTGAGTAACCTACCTTCTCTCTGCTGCGGTGAAGTTGAGTTATTCTGCTTCGAAATTTTGACTGAAGCTGTGAGCAAAGCAGAAACATAATTCAGCGTTAGCATTCTGCAGTTTCAAAAGACATTTTTCCTAAATTATGTTGAGAATGAACTCAAATGTTCAGAGATTTTATTATTGGATTAAATAATTATATTTTGGGGGGTGCAGTTCTGCTGAACCTTTCTGGTGAGGTACCTGCTGGTATTTCAGACAGAGCTGGTAGTTTTCCAGACTGGACAGAACAGACACGTCTTCCTCTTCGTCGTCACCCTCGTCKTCCTCTTCAAAGACCGAGTCCCTCTCTGACACACTGTCGCTGCTGTTCTCATCTCCACTGCTTCGACTTTCTCTCTTTATGTAAATAAAAACAAATTAAAAACCTCAAAAGATTTTTTTAAAAGTCAAAATTCAGCTTTTACTCAAAAAACATACCGTTTTTGTTTTTTCCAGTTCCAGACTCTCATTAATCAGGCGTGCCACCTCGCTCTCCACCCCTTCCTTCTCTCGACCAATCAAAAATCTGCAGAAGAACGTACAAATCGTTGACAGAATCACTCCAACATACTTGGGTAGAGGTCAACTGACATGAGTTTTAGTACGGCTCATGTTGATCTTTAGAAACCCAGGCAGCTGATGGCTGACATACAGTACAAGACACATCTTTTGGGGGGCGGGGCTAAAATGTACTTTTCATTTGACAAAATATAAATGCCCAAATTAAACATATTTAAAAACCACATTAATCAGCCAATATGATAACAAAACCTGGAGACATTCAGATTGTTACAGTAGAGCACTAATATCCAATCACAGACCTTCAGGACCACTAAACTGCATGTTTCTCTGTTCCAACACACCTGATTCAATGGTTGAATTTTCTCTTCAGCATGACTTTAGGTTCAGCAGAAGTCTGTCAATCACCCATTTATTGAAATAAGGTAAAAGAGATACATGCAGCACAGTGACCCTTGAGGAATTGAACATTTCCACAGCAGAGAGGATGGCTCAGTTTCACCAAGTTTAAATGTAAAGAATGAAATCATAATTACATCTGTAATTTTTCCCATTTAGAGAAGATTTGTGCTGTCAATAAGACGCATAAATAAATTCAAATAAGACTATACCCTCAAAATAGCTAAGTAAATGTAGTCAGTTTTTCTGTATTTCCCCATTGTAACATTTTAAAATTAAAATTGGAAGCATGCATAGAAAAAAAAATGTTGGTCTGCGTACAAAAAAGTTTTTTAATTATAACTTTTTTAATGTAGGCGAGCTGTAAGGATAAACTACTGTATCTTTTATGGGACCAGGTTTCAAGTTAATCCAAGAAGCAATTTGTTGCACAGTCAGTCAGAGATAAAAACATTCATACAACACACACAAAAATATAAATAAATAAAAAAATGAATTAAAAAACCCACAAAAGGTATCTGCTTCCAGACAGAAGCAAGATGATCTTACCATGGGGTGGATGATCAGGGTCCACCAGGATCAATCTGGACTTTTTCCACTCACCTGACCTTGAGTAGGCCGGTGAAGTTTGGTAGGGCTATACCTCTAATTCTGGTTTATTGTTATTTGTGACCTGAATTGGTTTTAACAATACTTTGAAGTTAAAATAGAAACTAGGACATTTGAGTCTCTGAAATGATGGAATACAGCAGGAAGCTGCAACAAAACAATGGTTTGATGATGCAGCTTTCAAAGACAACAGCTTACTGAACAAATGTTGGCTCTAAATGAAAATGTATAAATAATGTTGCCTCACTGCTAAGAACACTTTGGTAAACTGTATTAAAAAATATATATATTTTTTTCTTGGTTCACCATGAAACGTATCATATAAGAAACAAGAAAACAAATAAATAAAATAAAAAGAACTAAAAAAAGGGAGGAATTTATTTTTAACCTAGCATCTTTGTTTTATCTATAAATGAATCAGTTCTATAAAAAAGGTAGTTTTTGAAGTCTAAGAATTCACTGATATGAACATTTTTTTACAGTGACTTGTTAAATTTAGAACTAATATGTTACTGTGACGACAAATTCTCCAGTAAAAAGAGCAAAGATCAAATAATTTTTCAAAGATCTAATAGCTTTGCAGAGAAAGATTAAAGGAACRTTACACAGAAGATGTTTATTTCATTTTCCATGAATAGTTATAAAAGAAAACCTGAAAGACAGCAAAAACGACCAGCACTAACACTTCGCTGTAACATGGCAACTTACTTGACGAAGCCAGACGTGCTCTTGAGAACGGAGGCTGCAAAMAGTTGGGAAACTCCAACCAGACTCTCACCATCCACCTCCACTATCTGATCGTTCACCCGGATCCTAACAGGAACGCCACACAACATTATAT